TCCACTATCATGATCCCAATTCTACCTTACAAATCTGGCTAGACCAGAGGATGTACACTAGTACAGATAGGAACTGGGAATTCAGGAAAGATGATTCCTTCAGGACCAGTGGTGAGAGTGGCGATACCAGGAGGGTAGGATGGAAAGGGGGAACCGATTACAAGGATCTACATATAACTTCCACCCTGGGGGATGGACAATGGAAAATTGGGGTGAAGGGAGACATTGTAAGACATGACAAAATAATTTATAAATTATCAAGTGTTAATGAGGGAGGGGGAAAATGAGCTGGTACCAAGGGCTCAAGTAGAAATCTAATGTTTTGAGAATGATGATGGCGACAAATGTACAAATGTGCTTGACACAATGGGTGGATGTATGGATTGTGATAAAGAGTAGTAGGAGCCCCCAATAAAATGATTAAATTGAAAAAGAAAACTGGTTTCTGAGGGCATCTGTTGGGTTAGTTAAATTTTTAATATATGAAACCCAGGATTGATGAACCTATAAAGATAGCAAATAGAACAAGGGTTCCTAGAGGCTAGCTACAGTGGCAGGGGAGTGGGGGTAATAAAGGGGAGCTGACGTCAAGGAATTCAAGAAGGAAGAGAATGTTTTGAAACTAGTAACAATTGTACAATACTGCTTGATTTGATTGAACTATGAAACTATATGATCTGTATTAGCTCCAAATAAAATTTTTTTGGGGGGGCAGGGGTAAATAAAAAGCTCTTATAAATTAAAAGCAAAAACTGACAAGTTGTACCCATAGTTTTCCAAGACTAGTCCTACATGCTTTGGACATGTTATCAGGAGAGACCAGTTCCAGGAGGTCATCCTGTTTGGTAAAGTAGAGGGAGTGAAGAAGTGGAAGGGCCTCAAAGAGATGGACTGATAGAGTGGCTGCAATGGGGGCTCGTACAACTCTTAGCACAATCGCTACATCCATCCATTGTGTCAAGCACATTTGTACATTTGTTGCCATCATCCTTCTCAAAACATTTGCTTTCTACTTGAGCCCTTGG